TATTATTCTACATTGCAAAACATTTGGTCTTCTCCTTAATAATCTGCTGGGTCAAGGTTATGATGGGTGCTCGACAATGGCCGGAAAAGAAAATGGTGTTCAGGCGAAAAATTCGAAGAATTTACCCCAAGGCTGCATTTGTTCGCGGTGCCTCGCATATACTTAATCTCGTTGAAAATGATCTTAATAATGTTGCATTGATACGAAATACTATTAGTACTATCAAAGCAATTATTACATTTTTTTCGTGAAAGCCCAAAAAGGAGGTCCTCTGTACCAAATATTCCTATTCTGTGTGAGACAAGATGGACAAGCAAGTATAAAAGTATTTAGATTTTTTCTAGTAAATTTGCCAACTGGAAACATTTTCATTGCATGCAAGTGGAAATACACGACAGGCTGCACATCAGTTACATTGTTCATCAAAGTCCAGCACGTTTTTATTTTGTCTCAATATTATTTCTCAAGACTTGGAACCAGTTACTCAGGCTCTTCTAGCTGTTCAAGTTGATCTTCCAGAAGTCCAACTGCAAGTTCAAAACCTGCTCAGTGTAGTAAAACTTCACCGAGGTGATTCCGATAACTATTTCAGGGATATTTTTGTGAAAACACTACAACTCGCACAGAAAGTGGATACTGAGCTGATTATCCCAAGACAGAGTGGAAGACAAAAGTATCGAAGTAATCCGAGAACCATAAGTGTTGAAGAGTACTTCAAACTGTTTACATTCCATACTTAGATTCTCTAATTAACTCAACTGAGAGTCGATTCTGTGAAGCCAACAGTGCACAATTTAACTTAGCGTTGCTACATCCTTCGAAATTGTGCAAACTGAATCGTAAAAAGTTTAACGATATAATGTCTACTATTATTCAGATATACTACATTGATAATTTTGAAACTTCTTCTTCTTCTTCTTCTTCTTCTTCGCGTTCACCAGCTGAACACTCTGGCGTAAAGTTCTGGTTGCTCATCCATTTCTGGACTGCAGCCATGCTCCAGAACATGAGTGTTGCGTGTGCATCAGTTTTACAGATCTGATTCAATTGAATGCAGACTGTTGGTTCCTCGCCTCTCAGGCAGATGCACTCCGACTTCAAAGGAAGTTCCCCAGTTAGTCGACTCTTACGACATGCTTTTGGGGAGGCAGTGGGTTTATTCTTGTTTTCCCCACAATAGGGCCCCGGAACCCACACGGGGGAGGGAAAACGCGAGAATGCAGAAGTAGACAAGATTTTATCGACTTGTACCTTTTACAAAGTTTTATCTGAGTGTCAGGTATGTGTTACTATTTTTGCTAACATTACCAGCAACAACATGTACTGTGGAGCGATCGTTCAGCACATTACGTCGTCGTGTAAAACATGGCTTAGATCTGCAATGTGAGATAAACGTCTGTATGGATTGTTATGTTAAGCAATTCCAGGCCGGCAACGAAACAAATAAGGATTTGACCGTTGCTGGCGCTACGTCGTTCGTGGTTTGTGCGATTTATGAAAGTACTTACAACGAGCCTTGGTGATATCCCCGGGAACTGCAAATATTTTTTTGTTCATACTTTACTTTTAGCATATTGAAATGTTTATTCAAAGTGAAAACCACATATGAAGGTGAGCAATTATTTTTTTTAAATCACATGAAGAAGAAACACAAAGTTAGCACATTGAGGTTACGGTTGAAACAAAGTAAGTGTGATTTGCGCACCCTTTTAATTAATCAGTACCGGGGCTGCCAGATATTTGAGCTTTGACCCCAGTGAGAGTTCAAAGTTTGAGTAACTGAAAGAAAAAACAATAATAACTGGAAAAAAAATATTCAACTCAAATCAAAAGCATCTAGAAAAACATCTACCATAAGAAAAAAAATATTTGACTATAAATGAAAAGCATCTAGAAAAGCATCTACCATTTAAACGTTAAAAAGACATCTAAATAAAAGGAAAAACATATGAAAAGCATCTAGAAAAGCATCTACAATTTAAACGTCAAAAAGACATCTAAATAAAAGGAAAAAAAGGAAAAACATATGAAAAGCATCTAGAAAAGCATCTACCATTCAAACGTCAAAAAGACATCTAAATGGAAGGAAAAACATATGAAAAGCTTCTAGAAAAGCATCTACAATTTAAGCGTCAAAAATACATCTAAATGGAAGGAAAAACATATGAAAAGCATCTAGAAATGCATCTACCATTTTAACGTCAAAAAGACATATAAATGGAAGGAAAAACATATGAAAAGAATCTAGAAAAGCATCTACAATTTAAACGTCAAAAAGACATCTAAATGGAAGGAAAAACTTATGAAAAGCATCTAGAAATGCATCTACCATTTAAATGTCAAAAAGACATATAAATGGAAGGAAAAACATATGAAAAGAATCTAGAAAAGCATCTACCATTTAAACGTCAAAAAGACATTTAAATGGAAGGAAAAACATCTAAATGTGGATGTAAAATATCCGAAGTGGCAACACTGAACGTCATAGTAAAGGCGCGCTTTGCAAGAGCGCGCTTTTGCGATGTGAACAACTTGGATGTAGAGAAACCGCGAGAAACCACAACCTGAACACCCTAGAATTTATTGGGAATGTCTCCTGTGACGTCATTGTGACGTCAGGGGTACGCAAAAAATATAGTACCGATTTTCCTAAATATTATCTCCCAACTGTCTTCTTGGTATAGGCGCCGGAACTTGAAGGTTCGTGTCCCTTTAGGGAATTCCCACCCCCTCATTTTACCCCCCCCCCCCCTAAAAAACCGTTTCACCAGCCCCTTGTAATAATATGAAATGTACAAATACTTTATGAGGTAATTTATGTACTTGGTATATTTTCCTCCTGTCGATTCCTGGGTTTCAGTATGGGTGGGGGATAGACCCATTGCCTCCCTAACAAGCATGTCGACTAATTAGGGGTTTCCTCCGAAATCGAGTGCACTAGCCTAAGAGGCAAGTAACCAACAATTTGCATACACATACACCAGATATGTAAAACACGGTGTACGTAAATGTGAAGTTCTGGAACAAGACAAGACCAGAAGTGGACAAACAACCAGAACCTTCCTTCAGAGTTTACAGCCGGTGAAAACGAACAAAAAGAAGACATACATGGTTAAGAGGAGCATCTCAGCCCCTTACCAAATTATTTCTTAGCCCCCCCCCCCCGATAAATGTTTTCCCCGATATTTTTTACATTAATTTATTAGGAGGGGGCTGAAGAGGTCTGAATCCCCAGCCAATTTTTACCTAGGTGACGAGGAGGGTGTGGGTGGAGTAGGGCACGCTCACCCTTCCCATCCTCCCCAATTTTTAAAGAGAACATTAGAAATGGGGGGGGGGGGGGTTTATGGGGGGTTAAGCACACACCCCCCCCCCCAATGCTTTATGTTTCTTGGTCTGCTGTTAAGCGTTTTCGGGAAAAAACAGTTTGCGATCCATTGCTTGATGGGCAGCGATGGCTATTGTCATTCCATTTCGATGTAGAATAATGTCATCAATCCATTTTCTCCTAGGACGGCCTCCTGCTTTCACTTCAGATCATTTCAAGTGTAGCGCCTGCGTTGGTATTTGTTCTAGCTGTATTCTTACTGGATAACTAAACCATTTGTTCTTCTGTTTGTCAATGAATTTGCTGCATAGTGTTGTTCCTACAGTCTGTGTGATCATCTAATTTAAAACTCTCTCTCGGATGGTTAGGAGAAGACGCTGGTTAGCCTTTGATAATGTCCAAGTTTAAGCACTGGTAGCACAATGCTGGTATGAATATGCTGTTAATTATCTGTTTCTTTGCGTTTATAATAATGTTTGAATGTCTTATTATGGTATCTAATTGCAGTGGTTCGTTGGAATCTTGTTTTTATTTCCCGATCTATTCTCCCGTCCTTCGAGAATATACTTCCTATATATTTAAATTAATTAACTTTGCTTCAGACAAGTACCATTCAACCTGATATGCAGTGGACTAGACATTCTGCTGACCTGCATTACTTTAGTTTTAGAAGTATCTATTTTCATGTTATATCTTCTGCATGTTGAACCACGGCCTTCTCTTCTTCTGCGTTCGACATCAGTCATGCTACACATTGAGTCACGTCTGGGTCAAAAATAGGATTGTGCGTTTAAGGTCGCCACCGGTCCCCCATAGCTTCTCTCGCAATGTGGATCCCCTGGGCCAGATCCAGTCTTTGCTGGGAGAGGTAAGGGCAGTACTGCAGTATGTGCTCAGGGGTCTGTCTTTCTGCTCCACAATCACAGGCAGCAGATTCTTTTATGCCTATCCTGTATTTATCTAGAGAAGGCGGTGGTTGAACTTAGACTGACCAGTGTTTTTGCAGTCTACTCCCCCATTGAAGAAGAGGCAATAAACGTCTGCATATAATAATAGTTCGTTTACTGTATGTGCATCTAATTCTTCTTCTGGAAAGTTAAGGTCTTCGATTTCTAGATTTAACACTAAATGTGTTTGCTGAAAATGCATCCAACATGTACATTATGTTTATAAAAGTACTACATGCTTCTTCAAAATAAAACCGACCAGATTAAATTGTTTAATTATTAAAAATTAAAATAGCATTTATGGTTATTAAATTATTCGCCATAAGGAAATCACTGAAATTAATAATTTGAAAGAAAAAGACTTTCCAACTTTGATTGAGCTTAAAAATCTGACATGGAAAAAAATAGTTGCCAAGTGGCATACTTTTTTCATGAGGGGACGATACATTGTTTCTGCAGAAAACTTCGCTGGAACTCCAGTTGACAAGCCGTATTTTTCACTCGCGTAAATATATTAAGCTCTAAAGGTTCGCATAATAAAAAAGCCATATCTTGATTCCCATTTCAAGGTGTATTCATTTCTGTTTTTGCATTTATATTGCCTTTGCAACGGTCTTTTGGGATGCAAAATCTGGTTTAACGACATACATTCCGGCGTCCATTTATTTTATTATACTGTTTAAGCGCCTGGATTTATAATATTTTTCTGTGTGCGAGCATTTGACATGGAAGATATCAAAGAGGAACGGTAGGATACTTTGTGATTTTGTACGCAAGTGAGAACTTTTACATTTTGGAGAGAAACGGTTATCATAATTTGATAACACCTATTATCGATAATTTAAATTCATCGCATATATCCATCACAGTATTAATATTATGGCATACTAGATTTGTTTGCTGGCTTCACCCGTGATAGTGGGGGGAAAAACATTGTTTTCGCGGTTTATACTTCGCCTGTCTCCACCGCTGCCGTATGTTGAGTCATTACCCTAAGCGCTAAGTGCACCGGAAAAGGCTCTTCTTACCGCCCCCTGGCCCTTTCCCCCGCCCTACAAATTTGACCGACGAAGCTACCGCCCCCTCAGATGCCCCAGCACCCTCAACAGGGTGATAGAACCCAGTATGTGAAGAATTGATCTAAGAGATTCCTACCATCCCTCTCCTCCTGTCTCAGAGTTACAAAGAAAGCAGACCATTGGCACCCCCCCCCCCCCCCCCCCCCCCTCAAATTAATCAAATATGAAAGATGAAATACTAACTAGTAGTTAAACATTTGGAAGTCAAGATCACTCAGCAACAACACGAAACTTAAGGTCTTCAATTCCTGTGTGATCCCAGTGCTAACTTATGGTTGTGAGAGTTGGAAATCATCAGTATCAATCGATAAGAAACTAGTCGCTTTCGAGAATAGATGCCTCCGAAAGCTATTGAATGTTCACTGGTCGGACTTTAGGTCCAATACATCTATAAGACAGGAAACAAAACAAAAATATGTGTCTGATTTTATCAGAATGCGTCGCTGGAATTACATCGGCCACGTACTCAGAATGGACATACAGAGACTTCCCCACCAAGCCTTCATATGGTCACCAGAGGGTAAAAGAAAACAGGGAAGACCAAAAGAAACTCTCCGTAGAACCATCACAAGGGAGAGCTCAACCATGGGTCTCAGTCGCACTCAAGACCTACATCAAGTGGCAACGAACCGACAGACGTGGAAAGCTATGACCTCTGCCCTATGCGCCATCTTTGGCACAAGAGGAATAACTAACTAACTGACTAAGTTAAACTACCACCCCAGCACCCACACTGGTCCAACTAATAGACTATTAATACTATTATTATATGTAACCCAACGGCATCTGCCGAGATATGAAAGAAAATGGGCTCTCCTGTCAAATCCGGACGAAGAATATAAAGCCCTGGGCGACTTAGTCAGAGTTCTCTCCCTTGGCCGCACTGCAAACAGTGATCGGAAAAGCCAACGAAACAAACGACACACTTACCTATCATCATACGGTTGCGTGTAGGGCTGCGTACGGTTGCGTGAGGCATTGTGAAGGGTTGTGTAGTCATCATACGGTTGCGTGTAGGGATGCGTAGTGTTTGGGTTTGAGTTAGGGGTAGGGTTAGAGTTAGGGGTAGGGTTAGGGTTAGGGGTAGAGTTAGGGTTTAGAGTTAGTGGTAGGGTTAGGGTTTAGAGTTAGGGGTAGGGTTAGGGTTTAGAGTTAGGGGTAGGGTTAAGGTTAGGGTTTAAAGTTAGGGGTAGGGTTAGGGTTAGATGTGAAAATTTTGACGTAGGATTTCGAAATACTGGCCGACAATCTGATGTTTGTGGGAGTGGCGCCACTGAAACTCTGCCAAATATGACGCCAATATCGTGCGGCTGGTGCCCCCAATCGTTGGCTAATTGTGCGTTTGACCAGCATCCAGAGGCCCTCGATTGTGTGTGTGTGTATGGGACTGTGCGCGATTATAGGGAAGTCCGGGGTCAAAATTGTCAAATCCAACGCTAAACCTAACCCTACCGCTAACCCTAATCCTAATCCTACTCCCTAACCCTAACCCCTACCCCTAACCACGCAAATTTATCGATCATTAAAGCATACAAATCGGCAAAAACCAACAAACAAAACACACCCAAAAAAAACCAGAATTGTCCTGCAGCGTCGAAAAAAAACCCAGATCTGGGGGAAACAACCAAGCATTGGCAGCCCTGATGTCAACGTGACTGTCTTCTTTGTTTCGTTGGCTTTTCCGATCACTGTTTGCAGGGCGGCCAAGGGAGAGAACTCTAAGTCGTCCAAGGCTTTTTAGTCTTCGTCCGGATTTGACAGAAGTACCAGAAAATGTAATCTCCCATCCTGTGTAGTACTTCATCTTTGTCCCCCCTCCTGCCATATGATAAGTCATTGCCCCTGAGTGCACCTTAAGATCTTAACCGCTAAAATAAAAGATTACAATTTTATTTTTAATTTTATTTTTTAGATTCTTTTTCTTCTCTTCCACCTTGTAGCTCAGTGAAGAGAGAGAGAGAGAGGGGGGGGGGGGGGGGGGGGGGGGGGGGGGGGGGGGGTGGGGGGGGGGGGGGGGGGGGGGGGGGGGGGGGGGGGGGGGGGGGGGGGGGGGGGTGGTGGGGGGGGGGGGGGGGGGGGGGGGGGGGGGGGGGGGGGGGGGGGGGGGGGGTATACATTATTTGATTAGCTCTGTCAAGAGCACTATAAGATTGATGGGCTCTCCTTTAAACTTCGTCCCCATATTATGGCTGCCAAACAAATACCCTAACAGGGCCTCAGTCGTGTGTAAAATGCGGACTTCCTCCGATGGACACATTGCGGCAGAACTAGGATTACTGTCCGTTGACAGTTTCGAGCAACAATACACACAATCCCCTGTGTGGGTTCCGGGGCCCCATTGTGGGGAAAACAAGAATAGACCCACTGCCTCCCCAAAAGCATGTCGTAAGAGTCGACTAATTGGGGAGCTTCCTTTGAAGTCGGAGTGCATCTGCCGGAGAGGCAAGGAACCAACAGTCTGTATTTAAGAGAATGAGATCTGTAAAACTGATGCCTTTGAAAGCTCTGCTCCTTGTTGCCTTGTGCGGGAGTTTTTTTGACGAACAGAACCAGCGCAGACAGCCCAGTCGCACACAGCTCTCGCTCTCGCTCGCTCAAAACCGCCCGATCAGCCACGTGTGTCTCTCGTTCGCTTGCTAACTACCCATTCGTAGCCTGATTATCGATAGCTAGATACTGGTCATACTCGCTTGATATTCGGCTCATTTTGGCTCGACTAAGCTATCGGTGTCGTCTGCGTTTGGGTCATTAGCAGCCCATGAGCACATCATTTGTTGGGGAGCCAGTTGTAACATCCAGTTATTGAACGATTGCTCGTGAACTGTGGAGAAAAGCACGCTCGGTGTACTTTTCAGTTCACTCAACGAGCCTTGCCAGACTTTACGGGGAGCGAGCTTTCGGTAGACACCTGATAGGTACCGCCTATTCACCTGCCTGACAAATTGGGCAAAGCCAAGAAACCAGCGAAGGCCGCCTCACCAAGGAAGCCAGTCCCGGCAATACCAGAAGTCGCAGCCTCAGACGAACAGAGCCAGGAGCTGATCACCCAAAGACCAGTCAGCCCTACTCCAGAAGTCAGTGTCGCAGCATCAACCATCATTACCTCTGAAGCCGAGAAACCACCCCAGCCATCAACATCCAGTGCCACCGACGCTCCAGCGGCCCAGTCATTCACGAGGCCACTGACGATCTCAAGCACCCAAGGGAGGACTCAGCAGCAGGGTAACTACCAATCAGATATCCTGCAGTGTGCTCGGTGCAATAGGGCGTGGCACACTGCTGCGACCTGTCGCAGCGGGCCCACTTGTCGTTACTGCGCAGGGGCGCACGACTTCAAAGAGTGCCCCCTAGCCAAAGTTGATCAAGATTTTAGAAAACCTAACACGAACAGAAGGTGCTCCAACTGTTCAGGACCACATAGCGCCAGATACCAGGGCTGCCCTACTTGAAAGACTGCAAAAGGCGACCCACCCAGCCAAGCGCAGCAAGAACAAACCACAGAGCCAGACCAGCCCTAAAGACAACGAAATAGCGCAACAACTGACCGAAATCCGGAATGAAATCTGCACGATCAACAGGCAGAAAGTAACCAGAGAGGAAGCCACCTCGGACAGAATCGAGATGCTAGGCCTCATCTCCCAAACATTGGACGAACTAAAAACACAGAGGGCAGAAAAACAAGCAGAAGCGGCCCAAAACACCAGACTACTGGCCGAAATAACAGCGGCGACCACAAAAATGGAAGACCTACTAGCACAAATCAAAACAGCACAAGTCCAAGAGGTAGCTCGGCGTCAAGCAGAAAGAGAGGAACACCAGAGAGAAATGGCCGCTCTCAAAGAAGCCCGTGAGACGACGTACCAAAAAATCACTCGACTGCTAGAGGTGAAAGCTGAAGCAGACTCTGCAATGATGGCAGTCAACACGGAGAGAACCCGGCAGAGAGAGAAGGCGGAACAGGAGACAAACATACAAAAAATTCTCAAAGAAGCTGTAAACGACATCAAAAATCTCATAGAAACACAGCTAAACCCGACCGAAATGCAAGAGCAAGGACCCGATCCAGAATACGAAGACCCAGAACAAGATTTGGAGGAAGAAGAAACCGTTCACCCAGAACCCGAAAATCGAGTCTTTGAAATGCCAGCCCGCGTACCCGACGACGAACTAACACCAGCATACATCGACGAACTGGTGAGCCGCCTGAACGAACTGATTAAACCAACCAAAGGAAAGTGGACCAGGCACGACGGGTGGGAGACCGTTCACTACGGCTCGCCCTCTGACTTCACCGCCTCAGAAATATTATACCTGACCTCAAAGAAGTACAAAAAAAATCTAATGACAGAGATGAGAAGAGCCCAGGATATCATCACCGCCAGAACCGATCCCAAACCGAGAGACCGTCGCACCTATTACCACACGAAACGCTAGCAATCCTGAGGCGACTCAAACAGACAAACCCAGCAGAAACCAGCACCCACTCGAATCCAGCCTAGCCGCCATGACAGCCCACCAAACTAATCCAGCCGGATCGTAGAAACCCCGCACCACGCGACCAGCCAGACATCCGAACCTCACCAGCCCCACCCATTCCCCATTCGCCAACCTTCCCCGGCAATTCTGTCCTTTTTAGGACAGTTACCCCTACCCCACCAGCCCGCATGTTTCTAAACTGTCCTTATCAGGACTTTTTAGTTCTCCCCTCCCAATACAGCCTACTTCACACCAACCAAAAGGAAAGGCCCAAGCATGAAAATCGGAACTCAAGGCACAACCAAACGCCTCCAAGAAACAAAACGACCTAGAGTCAGCAATCAAACAAGGACTCGATATAGTCACCGCTCATCCAGGAGCAGACTGAAAGAGTCAAGGAGATTTATTATTTTTGTTTTCTACAAAGTTCAAGTTCAAGTAAAACTGATGCACACGCAACACTCAGGTCCTGAAGCAGGACTGCAGTTCAGTAGTGGACGAGCAACCAGAACCTTCTGCCAGAGTTTACAGCTGGTGAACGCGAAGAAGAATACACACAATAATAGCTAAATGGCGGGGAGACCACACTCTCTGACGCAGATTAGTGATAGTGTTCTTCCGATTAAACTCACCGCCCAGCATAACCCCCGCGCCACGCATAGCGGCGCGGTTGGGGGGCTTAACTAGATGGCTGGAACTCACAAGCAGCAGCTACCGCATCTCCTGCAACTTCCTCCAGTTTATTTGCTTGTGAGTCCGACCATCTAGTTCAGCCCCCAATCCAGGCCGCGTATAGCGCTGCATGAAATACTGTCGGCGGTGCGGCATATTCGCAGAGACAGGTCTGCAATTAACATATCGCTGGGACCCTGTTAGAGTATTTGTTTGCCTTCGATAATATTGGCCCGTTATTCTGAGGCAGTCCTAGTTTTGCTGTGATTCCTTCCTAGGCAGTCACTCCTCAATTTGCATATGACTGAGGCCCTGTTAGGGTATTCGTTTGGCCGCCATAATATCGGGACGAAGTTCGAAGGAGAGCCTATTGATGTTCATTTATGTAAGGCTGTTCTTAATGCCATCGCTCCATATTTTCTGTGGTCTTCGGCTCGCTCTATACCCGTTGTAACATTTCAGTGTGGCTCACTGTGGTATATAGTACCAGGGCATTCTTGTTGGGTGTCCAAACCACTTCATTTGTTCTTTGATGACCTGTAAGACTGGCTTTATTCCTGATATTCGTCTGATTTTGTGATTTCATATTCTGTCTATCCTTGAAACTCCTGCAGCTCTTCTAAGGCATTTCATCTCTGTTGTCACAATTTTACATTCATTATGCGATGTAAGTGTCCACATTTGTCACTGATAGTCTAGTGTTGGCCAAAAAATAGTTCTGATAAGATTCGCTTTAGCACTCCGGGGTATCTTCTTGTGTGTCAACAGGGAAGATAGTTGCCCCATTACTTGATTACCTTTGACCCATCTTAAGCTGATTTCTCTGTCCAGTTTTCCATCAGATATGAACATTTATCCCAAATGCTTGAATTATTCTTTGTCTTAAGGCGCTTTTTAAATTTTGTTTTTAATTTGTCTTTCTTCCTATCACTATTGTCTCTTGTCTTCATACTGTTAATTATTATATTATATTCCTTCCCTTTGTTATTAATTTGATTTAGGTGGTTCCCGGTTCTGTAGGAATTCTGTACTTCGCTATGAGTACCTGGTCATCCGCGAATAGTAATTCTGTAATATCTTCTTCATGATTAAAGTTTGTTTCCTTACCTATAGTATCCATGTATGTTTCAAAAAGTAGTGGCAATAGTACACAGCCCTGACGCACACCAGAATTCACTGTACAAGTTCTTGACAATCCTGCCTTCAATCTTATGCTGCATTTACTTTAAATTGCCCATAACAAATTATTTTGATAATAGATGCATAAGGCTACAGCAACTGACAACCCTGCATCCTATTTATTGTCTCTTGTAGTGAGCGATCAAGTTCTCACTCACCGAGGCAGTCTAGGTCTAGATCAAGATCAAGATCTCCAAAAAAGAATACAAACGATCACCAGAGACCTTTCATGGGGGGCCGCCGTGTGATTGTCAGAAACATTCCATATGAAGTGAGATGGCAGGAACTGAAAGATCTGTTTAGAAAAGATGGTGAGTTTTATTATGCTTTTTTTTACAGAAGTCCATGTCTTATCAGCAGACAAATATTATATCAGAAATTATCCATGTGGGTTCTAGGGCCCATTTAGTGCAAAAAAAATAAAAAGAATAGACCAACTGCCCTCTCTTATTAAGTCTGTAGAAAAAGGTTGTGAACAGTTAAGGGAAAAAGGTACAGGAAAAGATGGGAATTTGAATGATCTGGAATCAGGACATGGTTTGCATCCTTGTACTTAAATTGTTCACATCCTCATGAAAGCATTGAACATGTCCTTTCAGATGTCCTGTACTGTCAAGTGTTAGCACAAAGCTGCTACCATCACCTCCAACAGTTGCAAACACTATGGATTCTCTAAAACAGCTGCTTTGGAGAATCTGCACTTTGATAAGAATAATGGACATAGAGTCTTGATGTATAATGAAATGGTTTGGATTGTGCTAAAGCTATGGATGCTAACATATGCTGCATCATTTAAATACATAATGGGAGTTGTCAGAATAAACACACCTGCTCAGGAGATGATTGGAGCACTTGTAAACAAAAGAAAACAAAAAAACAAAACAGTCTGAAGGGACTAGGAGTGAAAAGAAATTTGTTAAAGAAAATAAAATTTAAAAATGTAAACAGGTTAAATATTTAGGCCAGAAAGATATATTACTCATAAATACCATACTGGCGGAGGAGTATGAAGGCAAGAGGTAGACAAATGGGAGGATAACATCAAGAGATTGAAGAAGAGCAGTCTATGGTAGCGCATCCAGGGCAACAGGCAGAGCATGTTGAAAATCAGTTGCAGTCAGTCTTCATTCTATAGATGGCTCCTCATTGATTGATTGATTAAGCTGCCATTTCTGCTTGTATTTACCACCTTTATGGTGTCGCTTTTCAGGGGTGGGGGGGGGGGGGGGGGGGGGGGGGGGGGTGGTAGGGGGGGGGGGGGGGGGGGGGGGTGTTGGGGTTTTTGTGCCTGAAAAAATTAAGGGCTGCATGGTTAGTGCTGTTGCCATGGACTGCATTTTTTTTTTTTTTGACTGAACCTTACAGAGGATTTGAAATTGGGTATCTCGCTTGAGAGCCCAGTGTTCTGACCGCCCGGCCAAAAGTTCCTATGTTTAGACATCTCAGCCGCTTTGGTAAGTAAGTAAATTTTACCCCACAAGGACATTACACAGAGCAATAAACACCTGATGACACAAAGTGCCACCATGCGGATGAGGATCACCTGTGGAGAGGTCCCGGAAACTGCATTTAACCATTAGGCTATAATGTGGCCCCTGTCAACAGCCAGGGTTGGGCTTCAGAATAAGAAAAATTACATTCCACAAGGGGATGATGAAGAATGACAAGCAGCTTTAGGCAAAAACATCAGTAATATATGAAATCATGAACTAGACAGATAATTTTTGAATTTCAAAATAAGAGTTGTGAAGAAACATTATCACCTGTCCCAGTTGAATAGGCACTTTGATCAAATGTAACTTGTTTTGTTGGCGCTTTTCCATCTCTCACTCTAAAGTGTTATATTATGCTAGAGGGAAGCATGGCAGTCACAAATAATGGGGAGTGGGACTAATAAGACCCACTTGCGTTTAGAAGAGTTTTCCCAACATAAGAGCATTTGCTTTCAAGACCATTGTTGCTATAGCAGGTATTTAGCTTGTTTCTTCACAGATGCTCAACTCGTACCTATCAGCATTGATTTTCTCTTTAATCCCTTACTGATTTTCTGCCACCATGCAACATGGTCCATGGCATCCTGTTCCCCTGAATCTGTGTCAGTACTTGTATCATTCAATTCCTGCATGCACACAAATTTATATTGTCGTAAGGACCAAGCTTGACATCTTTTGCCCGTCTGTAATTTGCCAAAGAGGATGACCTTAAGGAATCTGCCATCCTTCATCCTACAGTTACCACATGCACACATCTTTATATCGTAGTAGAGGCCAACCTTGACATATTCTACCCATCTCTGATTTGCCACAGATCATGTCCTTAAGGACTACTGTCCTCCATCCTCCAAGTAAGCTCTAGCCATCAGAGCCCTCAAATACAGAGGATTGAGAAAACTGTTGTGATACCTGTTCTTTACACCACCTCAGAAGCATCTTAAATGACAAGAAACATTACTGTTTAGTAGTACTTGATATTGTCTTATAATTGACAATGATTTCTTGTTTGTTTGTTCAGTGGGTGATGTCACATATGTTGAGATGCTGGAAACACCTGATGGGAAGTCCAAAGGTGTAGCGTAAGTATTTACTTTGGAATATTTTATTGTTTTTAACATCTTCATGGAATCCCCATGGGGGTTCGGGGCCCCTATTATGGGAAAGATAAGAATAGACCAAAGCATTCTCCTGCTACTGGGCAATGGGGCACTCCTGCTCAGCTGTGTGCCGTAAGCGAACAAAGTGTTATTTTTCCATGACTGACCTTAGGCAGACGCAAAGTGGCTGTCACATGTGTTTCACATGTGTTAGATTGTGATTAAACCTTCACTTTTGATTCATTTATAAGTGGTGTTTTCTTGGAATAGATTTAATAAGTTCTTTGTGGGATTCTGTTTGGATTTATGTTCAATATGTTGTGTTTTCGCAGAGCAGCATTTCAAAGGTAAGAAGTAAAAACAGTTATTCTTACAATAGCTACACTATGTCCTATGATCTCTGTTTGCTAGTACAGTATACCTTTTAATATATCTGATATTAACATTTGGCTATCCTCCGAATAACTGTCCTAAATTATCGATGCAGAAAATATACCCTAACAGGGCCTCAGTCTTGTGGCAACTGCGCACTTCCGTCATTTTAAATTGCGCACTTCCGGCGACTTCCGCCACCGCCGAGAGTATCCCCCACCCGCATATGCGGCGTGGATTGGGGCTAAACTAGATGGCTGGGACTAACAAGCAGTAGCTACCGCATCTCCTGCAGCTTCCTTCATTTTATTTGCTTGTGAGTCCTGGCCATCTAGTTTAGCCCCAATCCACACCCCGTGAGCAGCGTGTGGTTACTCTTGGCCGAAGTCGCCGGACGTTCGCAATTCGGTGGTGGCGTTATAGTCCCCGGAAGTGTGCAAGTGACACTTCACTGAGGCCCTGTTAAGGTATATTTTCCACCTCGATAATTTAGGACCGTTATTTGGAGGATAGCCTAACATTTTATAAATTATTCATTATTACAAATTAAAAATGGTCTCCCATTCGCAAAATATTGCTAATATACTGGGTGGACAAAAGAATATTGCTAATACACTGGGTTAAAGTTAAAAAGTTAGTTTAAGTGTTTGCAGTGTCATTTTAACGTCTGTGCATATGTATTCCTCATCAGACAGAAGTTATGTCTGTCGGCACTCTTGTCCACTCAATCTTTTGCACATAATTTATAATCAGTAATTTGACATAACTTATGATTGGTAATCTTGTCCTAATTTTGTCCCTGCAGAATGAGAAAATCACATTAAGGGATTGATATGGTTGAGTAAATACAGTATTAGTTAATGTATGATGATTGATTTTGTTGAGTATATGCAGTGACACTTGATGTAGGATGGTTGCTTTTAACAAGTGAGAACAATTTCATTTGATTTAGAGTGGTAGAATTCAAAGACCCTGAGCATGCTAAAAAAGCAATTGAAGATTTCCATCAAAAGAAGATCAAAGACAGAGCCATTATTGTCAGAGAGGTAATGTCATTCTGGTTTTTAATTTGCTAATTGTTGATGTGTTGGAGTTATAGTTTTTAAAAGGTTTTACCACCTATGGTTAGCTGCCTGCTGAGAGCATCACACAAAGCACAGACTTTGTAGTTCCAGCAAGGATCCCTCGGAATCTCCATGAAAAGTGGACTCATCAACTGAACATGGCTGTGACATGAACTCATGACCTTCAGAGCATAATGCAAACTACAGGACCACTTTGTCATGGAGATGTCTACTTATATTAAAGGCATGAGTAAGCATCGGCAGAATCTCATGATATAACAATACCTAACAACTGTTTCTTCTTCTTCCTCTTTGCATTCACTGGCTGTAAACTCTGGCAGAAAGTTCTGGTTGTTTGCCCATTTCTGGACTTTGGCCTAGTTTCAGAACTTGAGTTTGTGTGCACATCCATTTTACAGATCTGGCTTATTTGTGTGCAGGCTGTTAGTTTCTCACTTCTCCAGCAGACACAATCCGACATTAAAGGCAAAACCCCTAATTAGTAGCTTTTTATGGCATGGATGTTAGGGTTCAGTAGGTTGATTATTTTTCTCCTCAAAATAAGGCCCTGTGACCCAGATGGGTGCCAGGTAATGTCCTTGGAAGTTTAAAAAGAAAAAAAGGCTAGCGTGATGTTGACCACATTACCCATTGAGCATCGATCAATCTGTAAAAATATAGGTCTAGCACTGTATGCGAAAGGGAGTGACCATAGTGTAGCGGCTAGATGCTCGCCTGCAGATCAGAAGGTCCGGGGTTCGGGTCCTGACGAAACCCAGCTTTCTTCACAAATGACCTTGGCTCCCAGGTTGACTCAGCCTTGAGTGGGTACCACTCACTGGGAAGTAAAGGCAGCCAGCACGATGTTGACCACACCAACCACGAAGTGCCGATAGGTCCAGCCCTATATGCCCACTACTCCTGAGGGTGTGGAAAAGGATCCTTTACTTTACTTACTGTATGCCCAGTGTGCCCAGGATATGATTGTCCTTTACTACTTTTGTCAGTTTTCATGGTTCATTAGATACAAAAACATGAATAATAGATTCCCTATCCCTTAACAAGGATATCATAAAAGGTGACTAAGGCTTTGCTGAAATAGGATGTGTTGAGCCAGAAGGTGCAGACACTGCGGTCTAACTGTATATCACAACACAATATGCCAGTCACCCTTTTAAAGTTAACACAGATGAAAAAAAGAATAACAAAGTACAACATACAATAAAAGTATGAACATGATATATTAGAAGATTGCTGAAAACTTGAATACTGACTTATTGTCTATTGTTATTTATGCAATTAGGAACGAGAAAAAGACCGTCAAGAATTTTTGCAGCACAAAAACATGAAAGATGGAATAGGGCTTGGTCCGGGAATGGGAGGTGGAGGCATGGGTCATGGAGTACCTGGTATTCCTCCAGGAATAAGTCCCCACATCTTGCAGCAGCTGGGCATCGAGGGCCCAATTACCAGCACAGTATTTGTAGCAAATGTAAATATTCATGTTTGTCATTTAAGATATTTCAGTTCATTTGTTTTTCCTGCATGTATACATAACGTAAGTAGGAATTGCGACTTCCTCCTCCTCTTCATTTTCTTCCTCCTCAGCATTCTGAGCCCTTGAGGTTCCTTGCTTTATATATAATCTGCCTCCATCATTTGTGTGGTTGGCCTTCTCTTTCCACTTCATGACTCCAAGTGTTTATAGATTTTTCTGTATATTATATCTCTCTTCCATCTTATTCTCCCTTGTGGTCTACTGCCATTCAACTTTAGGAAGGCTTTCCCCAGGTAAAATGAATCTGACTTCTAAAATACAATTATTTAACTTTTCATCAACTGCCAAGGAACTCACATTGTGGTTTTGGTTACACATTTCATTATTCTTTTTTTCCAGTTCATGTCATGTTAATCCTCCTGTCCCTGGTGTTACTATAAATTCTACTATAATTCTACTTGTCCGTAGTGACCTGTTTATGAGATGCATAGTTAATGCTTTTGGTTATTTTCACACCTATGCAAACACTATAGACAAGCTGGAAAAGGGAATTTTGGGGGGTTTGGATCCAACTGGAAGTGTCAGTTTTGTGGCTTGTCAAGGAAACAAATTTTAAGAGTGCAAAATTTTTGTTCTAAGGTACATACATTTTAGACACTGTTGAAGTAACAACTACCTGGGAACACTTTCAATCCCAGAAAACGTTATGTGTGGAATGAATCTTCCCCATACCTGAACTGTTATCATACTTGTCACCTGTCATCAGAACACACTGCAGAAATATGGCTTCCTTGGTGGCTGTTTGCGTGCGCTGTGCATTTAGCTTCTTACTAGTGATTGATAATTTCTATATTGGACGTCTGTGACAAGTACCTTGCGATACTGAAGAATTTATCTAGATATCGTGGGGTCGAATCCAAATGAGCTGAATTTTTGTCAGTAATGACCTGGGCTCACAGACTGACCCAGTCTTAAATGGTTACCAGGTGAGGCCCTGGGAAGTAAAGGCTGCCAGAATAATGTTGACCACGTCACACCCCCCCCCCCCCCACCCCCGAGTGAAGATTGGTCTATAAAATATAGGTCTAACCCACTACTATGCCAAATACACCGGGAAACCGTTCAGAAAAGTCGTTTACATTATTGAAGAAGTTAAATGTTAGAGGGCCATTCTTATAATTTCATGAAGCGTGAAGAGGAAAGATACAGATGTTCAACCAGAAAAATGTGTCTTTAAAAGGTATTGATAAAAATTGTGTAGTCTTCTAGGAAAATAAACACATTTGTATATTCTTCTTTCCATGTGGATTCCTGGTCCCATTTTAGAGGGGGGAAGATCAGCCCACTAACATAAATTTTAGTATTTAGTTGCTTATCCTTTACACGATGTTGCAGAACCAACCCGAGGATTTTATGGCTATTGGTGATTTAACTAGGCAATTTTACATTCACTGGCTTGCTATTGTTTTAAAAACCGTTGGCTCTCGATACCAGTGTCGAAACTCATGCTAGGTGGTTTGCTGCCCAGAACCTCAGTATTAAAAAGTGCAATCGCCATGTTGTAAAAGGGGTGTCAGGAACCTTATAGGTAAATTATTAGAGGTTTGCTGAAATTGGATGTTTTGGGCCAAAGGGTACAGATATCACTGCCTAGCTATAAACCACAATACAACTGGCCAGATGCCCTTCTATGGGCGAATGCAGATGAAGTACATCTTTCTGTCATATTTTGCTTGTAATGTCATTGTTTACCATGTTGACATCTGTTGAAATGTGTCTGTTGCTACAGCTGGACTACAAAGTCACATGGTGGAAATTAAAGGATGTATTCAAGCTGGCTGGAAATGTTCTCAAAGCTGAAATTAAAGAGGACAAAAATGGGCAGTCAAGAGGGATGGGGATTGTTATGTTTGAGCACCCGATGGAAGCAATTCAGGCAGTCTGTATCCCTTTTGCGAAACTGTATTTGATTTATTTTATAGAAATTTTCTCATTACAGGCAACATTTTAAAAAAATATCTTTTTAATATTCTTTCAATTAGTATTGTCTGTTCTATTTATTTGCTGAAGGAGGCTCCATGGCCGCAACATTCACATTTTGTTTGTGTTTGCTACATGGTGAAGCTCGTTGATATACTTTTCATTCGGTTTTAAATCTTTCCTTGTTCAAATGTGAGATTTTACCCATCTGTTGAATCTTTCTTTTGAAATATTGCTTTATTATTGAAAGGGAATAGGCATGTTATGAAAAGTATTTCATGAAAATGTTTACATTGAGATAAAACATATGTTAAAATATGTTATACTGTACAATTACCACCAGTTATCAAGATATTTGGTTCTCCTTTCATGCAGCACATGCGATTAATAGTCCAGTGTGTGAAAGGTCAGTAGTGAGCTTTTTTTTTCCTTCAGAATATTCTTCGAACAAAGAGAGTACTCACAGGCAAAAACCACATGTCTGCCAAACATATTAAGCTTCAAAGAGATTGAAACCGTCAGGTATTTTCTCAGCAATCCATTGGAATTGTTTAAAATACATAGGGTAAACAGCCTTAACAACCTTTAACACAACACTAGCAAACAAATGGAAATAAATATTTTCAGTGCATGCATCTTTCCCACGGTAACATTTGGAAGTGAAACGTGGACCATTTGACACAAACTTGGAAGAAAATTGAAGATTTTGAAATCGAGTTCCAACATAAAATTATAAAGAATACTGTGGATGAAATAGTTTGATACTAGTTATCATTTCCTTTGTTTTCCACGGATTTCCAAGTACTGTGAAAACTCACGCTTTTTTAAATTTGTATTTTTAATATCTATCTTTTTCTCAGCCTTTATCTACATTACTGCCTAAACATGTGTATGACTCCTTATCTTGGAGTGAGATTTCACTGATTAAATTATTATTTACCTTGTTTATCTTCATTATCTTTGTCTTTTCTCTATAGATTTTAAGACCTACCTTATTTTTTGCCCAATTATACGATTTTCCCAAAATATAAGGTCTAAAAGTGGTGTGCTCCTATACAGTGTAATAGACTTTTTAACCATTTAATTGTTAGAAAATATTGTGTACAGGGCCTCATTTGAGAATGCTGGTTCAGGGGTGCATAAAGTCTTCTGGGGACAATTTGACACCAGCAGGTGGGGTGAAGAAACATTTATGGAGAATTTTCTTATTCGGATGAAAAGATCTTGGGATATTGTGAAGACTGAGATCATTGTCGAGTCATTTAAAAAAAGGGTATTAAATGCCACTGATGGAACTGAGGATGAGGCAATATATGAAGACAGTGATTCATCGTCAGACACAGTCAAGGACCTGCTAAAGAACTTTCGTATGGATGAGAGTTTTGACAGTGATGATGCGTTTTCTGGATTCTGTGATAAATAAAACATAAGTTCAGTAACTTTTTGTAATCAAATTTTCTGTCTCCAAATTTCTGGTCCCACTATCAAGGTGCATCTTATACATGGTGTAATGTGGGATATTTTCACCCTGATTGAAAAGGTTGGGGGGAATGCCCCAGGGGCACCATAAAACCGAGAGAAGCCAGTTACGCAGAGAAAACAAGGTTCTCAAGGGAGGGAACGACCACGTGTTACCACATGGAACCCAAGGAGAACAACCACGTGTTGCCACGTGGGACCAACACTGGTTATAAGTTCAGACCACAGTCTGATCAGACAGTATGTGTTGACCATTAGTATGAAAGGGCTTGTGTGTGATCCAGTGTGAATGAGGACGTGAAACTGATTGCTTTAAGATGACGACTAGACTACAACATCCATCAAAGTAAAGTCCACCCAACTCAGTTGTGGGAAACCCAATGCAGTGACCAGAGTCATTCATGCCGAGATGTTGAAGTGAAGACTGAGAACTCCAGAGTGTGAATGCTCCAGAGGATTCAATGTATTGGTGTGTCTGAACGATATGTTGCTCGAATGCTGTTGAATAGGACACAGACTGGACATATTGTATAAGTGCTTAAATGTTAATAAACAGTCATGAATCATGGAGACCATGTCGACTCGTAACATCTATGTCATCGTAGAGTGTCAGTTATATCATCCATTAGACTACACCCCCTAGACAACAGCCAAGGACAGCAGACGATTATTGCACATGGGATTGTCTCATACTTGAGGAAAAACAGTAATTGTTGTGATCTCTTATCAAGGAGTTTTGTCAATAATCATTATTATTATCACATTGTTTGTACACTAAAACCTCGTTAGCATGAACTCGTTTAAGACGAATGCCAGGTTAACATGATCACTGTTATGGTCCCTGCAGGAATCTATTCTTGTTATTATTGCCTGCATTTTTTAAACGCAAACTTGATTTTTGTTCTTTTGGAAATTGTGGTAACGAGGTTTTAATTTATATTGATTCAGGTAATTAAAATAATGGCCTATGTTGTTATGATGTGGAGCTATTTATCTGTGTACATCTTTTCCTTAACTAACCAGCTATGTTTAATGGCCAAGTCTTGTATGACAGAAGTATGATTGTCCGTATAGATAAGGGAGGACCGGATCAAGAAAAGCTCAAGTTACCAAGTGAGTTTAATTGTAAAATTATCTTTCAGTTGTAAAATTCTCTTTCAGTTGAATTGTGTTGGGGAAAGGCATATGTGTCATTTGATAACAGATGTGATCAAAATAAATACAACTATTGTTTGAATAAAACTTCTGCCTTTGATGCTACAGTGAAGGTTAGCTTGTCATCACATGGACAATGAACAGACAACTTGAAAATCAAATTGAGTATCTGGATATGTGGATACACAGAAGAATAGATCATGTTTCATGGAAACAAAAACAAACAAATACAGAAGTTCTGAAGAGACTGGGATAAAAAGAGTTGTTGAAATAAATTTTAAAACATGACAGTTGAAATAGTTTAAAAAACATTAAAACATGAAAAGATATAGCACTTTAAAAAAAAAATCCATGCATGAGGGCAGAGTAGAGAGCAAGAGATGAACGATGGTACAGGTTGGAGGACATCATCAAGAGATGGTCAGACAACAGTCTGAGAGTGTGTACTACCAAGTCAAGACAGTGTTAAAGATCTGTTGCAGCCTGATTATAGCATAGGCTGCTTTCACCTCACTCACTCTAGGCTGTCCTGTCATATCATCTTCTGTAGCTCTCTTCATGTTAAGCCCATATTGTTCGTCTCTGACTTCTGTCTGTGTGTTTGAGGTCTTTTCTTGTGCTCTTTGGTTCCAGAAAAAAGACATTCTTACTATATTATAATCACATAAACAGAGGGGGCACGTTAGCTAAAGCTTTTTATTTTTATGTTGTTTATTGGTGTGTTCTTCTGTGGCGCGGTGATTTAGGTCACAGGCGTGAGGGAAAGTTAAGTCCAACATGATGTGTATAAGGAGATACTCCGTACGTCACTCGGGCGCCAGTCCTTCACTGTTCTGGTTTTACGGAATCTCACGCAAGACCCCTGCAGCACGTCCTCGTCGTGCGCCACGGATAATGTCTCAAATGAGCATTAACAGAGCTGTCAGGGGATCTCGGAATTGGCGGCCCCCAGAGGTGCAGTGTCCTTGTGGCTCTCATCAGCCCGCCCCCAAATGCATGGGTGAAAAAGGTTATCAAAACTCATTAGGAACATGAGTAAAGTGCTTGCCAAATGTTCAACTAAAATTACAACCCTTGGTTAAAAGATTGCGGAGTGAAGAGAACATTGTTCTGCTGAGACTCAACCCTTGACCGAGAGATTTACCCGCAGCACAGACGAGTAACATCTCCTGGGGGTATCGTCTCGCAGCAAGATTCTACCCATGGACATCCTCTGTTAACCCTCAGTGTCGTCGTCACCACGCTGAGGTACACCACAACAGCAACAGCCCACTGGCTGGATAAGCCTAAATGTCCGACAAAACTAGATCCTACGGCACACGAGTAAGCTCAAAATCCGACCATCACAAATCGTATTGAATGGGAAAAAGTCCAAATGTCCACACCCAAAGACCCCACTCGCCCGAGTGTTGGGACCAAACAGATAACGATATGCCTGACGCAGGATGTTAAATTCTGTCATGCTAACGGCTCGTCAAAGATATCTAACGTGCAAAGAAAAAGAATGTACCTATTCGTGTGGTCACAAAAGTCCAGAACCTGCGGGCTGCTCCCCGCTGATCTCCGGAGGGCGCAGCCCTTGTCGAGCGGGAGGCCTTATACGGTTGTGAGGTTAAGCAGTTATGTGCAGGATGTGACGATTCCTTGGGTGAGCCCAGAACCAGAGTGCCATGTGCCGGCTCTGCATACATGGAAGCCTCCTTGGATGGCAGGGAATGCCCATGATCTGCCCCTGCCTTCCCTTGAGGGCACACCGTTCCACAAGGGGCTGCCCCAAAGGGGTATTCCGGGGGCAACACCTGCAGAGAAGGCGACATAGAGGACACCACACAAATCAGGCAACGTCTCGACCCACACAAAAAAATGACCACAGTCATCCTAGAAATAGGCCTGACGTCTTCTCTCGAAGTCGGAGTACATCTGCCCGCGAGGCAGGGAACAACAAAACGGTTGTACACGCAAAACTCAGGTCCAGGTAAAAGCCAAAAGTCCAAGCGGACGATTAACCGGGACCTTCTGCCGGAATTCACAGCCGGTGAACAAAGAAGAAGTGTCAATCATACCATAAATATTCTTTTGTGTGTTTAGTGTTTAAACTTGTTTCAGTTAAGGCTGTGGCACCAGATGCTCAAGAAAATGAATGGCCACTGTAAAGTCATGAACACACCTTTCAGACTGGCTGTTATGCAACAGAAATAACCAGTGGTGAAGCCATATTTCTTTAGTATGCTGTGACCAGTAGTTTAGAAAAAGGGGGAAAGTGAACACATTGCATGATGGCTGGGATTCATGGGAAAGAGCCAGTTACACATCACTTGGGACTGAAAACAGTTACATTTAGCCTGGGCAGTAACCTATTTTAACTGTTTAAAACAATCACATGGAGAGGAATCACCTCTTCTGCCTGCTTTTTTATTTTCAACTGTCTAGGCATTTTTAACATTAGCAATGTGCACATAATTCCTCCAGTTGTCTCCCATGTCTGCGGTAGAAAACCAAGAACCAGTCTTGGGAATGCCACACCACCAGTTTGTATATCATGATTTCACTGTTTTTTTTAAATTAGCGTATTGAGGTGCATTGCTGTGATATATTCAAAACTTCTGTTTTCAGGTGGTTTAAAGTCTATTGGTATGGGACTAGGCTCTGGAGGTGCACCTCTAACCAACATCAGTCATTTTGGCAACAGTAAGTTATTATTTCAGAGCTTCTATTTCCTTTATATTAAAACTATATTTTATTAATTCTGTTTCAGCCCTTTCAGTATCAGATGATAGTTTCTCCAACACCGTCTACTCCAAAGTAGATGTACCTTAGAACAACAGTCATTGAATCTTATCATATTTAACTAACACGGCTATAAAACACAAAGATTTGAAAAAAAACGGTGCAAAAACTATTTATTATCATTATATCAGATCTGGTATGTTATAAGGTAAGAATACATTTTATAAAGGGACCTGAAAAATGTGTATGGTGATTCACGCCATAACCCCATTGCTGTGCAACTGCTTAAAGCTGAAGGTGAATCGTAACATCATAATAATCAAAAGCTTTTTTTTCCCCCCACAATAAAACTCCCTTAGATAGCAAGGTCACTATCATCACAAGAAGAGGCAGGGTTGCAAAAACCAACATAAGAGAGAAATTTTGAATAAGACCATACCTGGATTATACTGACAGTCAAAGAATGAGATGGTTCAGCCATCTAGTGAGAATGCAGCCAGACCAAACTGCATATGAGACTCTACAGCAGAACATATAGGAGGAAGGTGAGAGGAAGACCGAGTAAGAGATGGATAAATGGTGCAGCAGAAATCTGCAAAAAGATGAACAGTCCATCATTCAAGCCACCTGAGAAGCTCATGACAAATACAGAAAACCACAACACTGGGGCTAAAACCTGGTATCAATGAGACGACAAAAGAAGAAGAAAAAGAAATACTATTTTGGTAGTTATAATAAGATCATGCACTACTGAACACTGCATAAGCGCAAACAGAACCAGTGCTGTTAACTAGACTTGTCTGGGACTGGCCAATGCAGTTGTAACAGCTTCACAAGGATTTGTAACGGACGGTTTCACTGGATTAAAGGCGTCTCGGGGCAAATGAGTTAAGATATTTACATTTAACATTTTATTTTTAACCTTAGTGATGGATGTTTCCTCTTCCTCTCTCTCCCCTCTCTCTCTCTCTCTCTCTCTCTCTCTCTCTCTCTCTCTCTCTCTCTCTCTCTCTCTCTCTCTCTCTCTCTCTCTCTCTCTCTCTCTCTCTCTCTCTCTCTCTCTCTCTCTCTCTCTCTCTCTCTCTCTGTGCGGGTGGGGAAGGGGGGGGGGTGTATGAAAAATAATAAATACTATCTTATATTTGAGATTGCAAATGACAATGTTATTATAAAAAAGTTTTTTATAACTATAAAGCTAGCGTAGTGATGTTGAAAGTTGTATATTTTAGAGAATTAATATTTGAGTACATTATACATAAATGTTTTTGCTGTTGTGTTTCAGATCTAGGAATGTGTGGAGGCGGGGGTTTAGTAGGACTGGGAAATTTAGGAGGTGGCAATTCAGGTCTAGGACTGTTGGGTCCGGGTGGAAATGATCTTGGTTTAGGCATGGGAGGGTTAGGTTTTGGTGGATCCGGGGGGCTGGGTATGGGAGGATTTGGTGGTTCAGATATGGGATATGGTGGTTTGGGAGGATCGTCTAAATTAGGTGCATTGTCTGATCACTACTCTGGCAGCTATAACGGCAGTGGTAATCTGTCTGGGCTTGGGGGTCTAGGTCCCTCGTTGAGCTCTCTTTCAGCAGGGTTAGGTGGTTATGGGGGAATAGGGGATCGATTGGGTATGGGTGACAGTTTAGGCCTCAGCAGGGACAGACTGGCAATGGAGCGGTTAGCTGGAATGGGCGGGTTTGATAGAATATCTGACAGATTGAGAGATGGTTATGGCATCATTGACGATAGACGCAAGCCCCGAAATGACAGCTGCACAGTTATTGTGAAAAATGTGAGTACTTTATTTATGGCGAAATGTAGATTTGTTGACATTGCCGGAGATGTTCATTTATATGTAATGTCAATAGATTAACCATATGCCATTCTGCTTTTAAGATTGTAATGGATCCTTTACCCTTATCTGTCTTACTTTGGTTGTACACTCTTGCTGTTCGTCCATCTCTTGATGTTATCCTTCTACATATATCTTTGTCTTCAATTGTCCATCCATTATGGTTTTTGTAAGTGGATTTTGTCTAGAAATGTGGACATATTTGACCCCCCCCAATTCTTTGTTTTTAATTTCAGCCTCTCCAAAGCCCCTGTTTGATTGTTTTTGTTCCCATGAAATACTCCATGTTCTACTGTATATGTACGCAGTAAAATGCATAAAAAATAAGCTGATTGTCTTGCTTTGATTTTTCTTTTCCTGCCAGTCAATCTGAACTGTTTCTTATCTGTGTTTGTATTGCACCTTGGGCTTGACAGTATATGAGACAGGGGGATTAGCAAGGAACAGTCTTTCTTCTTCTGCCTTTCTAGCCTCCAATGGAGCATAGGCCCTCAACCAACTCATGCCAAGTCATTCTATCTTTTGTTATCACATGCAGCTCTTCCCATGTTCTCCCCATCTTTCTAACTTGATTCTCCAGCTCCCTTCTCTATGTGTTTTTGGGCCTTCTTTATTCCTATACCCCTCGCCATGAATACAAGTGCACTAAGATACATGGTCAACTAGGCACCCCCAAAAAAAGGTGTCTCATTTGCCATGTCTATCGTACAGCTTGAAATCCACGACTATGGAATACGGACAGAATTCATTTCAACCCATTGAAATGGCACCATAGGTTACAGAAATGTATATTAACGAAGCAAATGTCGAATAACAATCACAGCAACAATTTACGAACACAGTAGACCTTATTGCCTTGTCTAGAATACACAAACATTTAAGAAAGGTATTTGATTGGTAGGTTCCTGTGTGTATACGTCATTCCTATAAATAAACAGAGGGGAGAACCATTTGAGGCCGTTCAATATTATGAATTAATCAAGTAACAGATTAATTCATGATTTGTTGGATTTCATAGCTAAAGTTTTTGTATGGGATGAGATAGCCAGTCTCACTCCAACTTTTCTTTGTAACAAACAGTGTGCATGTTTTTATTGCTATCCTTCTTTTGAGGCCCAACCAGTCTACATGCGGTCGCTCTGGATGGTTCTCCAGATCAGCACCTGTAGTTTTTAAGGGTCAAAGAGGCTACCACACAAATGAGTCTATGTCATGTTCCACAAAACTATCCAGGAAGGCTAACCTGGTGAACAGCTGCCCAATGAAATCAGATGTGTCAGCAGAAAAGCGCAGATATTACAGGCACAGTACACTTACCTCACTCAGATAAATGAGGGTGAAGCATAAGAAGTATTACTGGGGTGGGGGGGGGGGGGGGGGGGGGGGCTATTAACCAAAAAACAAAACGTAAAAAAGATCCCTTTCCACCTTTTAGGCACATCAGGCATATGGGAAGAGCACCATGTTTTTACAGACCAATTGGCACTAGGAGGGTAATGTGGTCAGTATCACTCTGGACATCATTACTTCCCCAGGACATACATCCTGGTACCCATTTTAGGCTGTGTCAACCTGCGATGTCCCATACCAGAATAAAAATCCCTGCAGCCAGCAGTGAGTTTCGATCGCGGTGCTTTGGAATTGCGAGTCGGACTCGCAACGCCTAAGCCACGGACGCTGCACCCTCTTAACAAGCATGTCGCAAAATGTGACTAATTGGGGATTTTCCTTTCAAAATCGTAGTGCATCTGCTTGAAAGGCGAGGAGCCAACAATCTGCATACATTTAAGCCAGACCTGTAAAACTCAGTGTGCAAAACTCAAGTACTGTAATGAACCTTTTCACATAATTTTGTGTCTTCCATGTTGCTTGAACAGCTTCCTTATAGTGCTAATTGGCAAGCCCTGAAAGAACACTTTCGAGATGTAGGTAAGTGAATTTTGATAAATTTACCAGGATGTTATCAAGTAAAGAAGTCAGTTTAAAATATGTTTGTAAATATTGACAACAGTTATAAAACTTGAGGAGTAAACTGGTTGTCATTGGTACATAAGCTAGCAGATTTGACTCTTGATGACATGGCATCTCTAGGATATGGAAACTTTCAAGTGTGTTGTCATCCGGACCTCCCCATTTGTAGAGAAAGCAATAGATCCACGCCTGCTTACCCAACCCCCCTTCCCTTCTTTCCCAACATGCATGTCATATAAGGTGACCAATTAGGGGTTTGCTGAAATCCAATTTGATGGACCGAAGGACACGTATATCACAGCCAAGCTGCAAACCACAACACAATGTACCAACCGATCTTTTAACGGCAAATGCTGAAGTAGACAATTGTTTAGCCTTGGTCACGCCAGATTTAATATGGTCAAATGCATATTGAACTTCCGTCTTCACATATAATGATAATTCATTGTTATAAGAAATATTTTTGTTATGTGAATAGTAAAGATCTTTCACATTCTCAGACCACAAATCTAATATCTGAATCTGAGCCATTATAGTTTTATCTTTGTTTTTTAGGTAACTTTTGATGTGGGTATTAATTTTGTAGCGAGAGCATTAATTATTTTGTTAATCAATAATCTGGTTTTTGAGTGTTTTCTCATTCACGTTCATGGTTGTAAACTTCGGTGGAAAGTTCTGGTTATTCGTCCGCCTCATTGACTTTAGTCTTGTTTGAATCTGAGTGTTGCGTGCACATCCATTTTACAGATCTGGTTTATTTATGTGCAGATTCTTGGTTTCTTGCCTCTCAGGCAGATGCACTTGCTTGTTGGGGAGGCAGTGGGTCTGTTCTTTTCTTCTCCACAATGTGGCACCCCAGAACCCACGCAGGGATTTGAGTGTTTTGATTTTTAATTTCTTTGAAGTTTTCCCTATTGTCAATCTAGCAGCAGCATTGTAAAATTTCCCAATATGATAAATCTTACTCGAGGCATTTTCCAGAGCAGTATAAAATGCATCTGTGCTATATTTATTACCGTCTTTTTTTTTGGGGGGGGGGGGGGGGGGGGGGGGGGGGGCATAAGCTTGAATGTTTACACCAAAGGACTTGCCATTTAACATTCATTTATGCATTCACTGTTCTGTTGTGCCATTATAATGTCAAAAGGGGCTGTGTTGTCTCAAAGCATGGTGTCCGCCTCGAGTGCTAGAGGTTCCAGGTTTAATCCCCGGTAAGGGCTGGGATTTTTTCATGTGGACTTAGACTTCTAGTAATAACCCCCGTCTCTGGGTAGTGAGATCAGATGCCCGTGTGCATTGTTGCGCATGTAAAAAATCCCTTTGCAGTTGGAAATCGAAAAAAGTAGCCTAATGGCACTGCCCGGGCAAATTTGGAGTTAAAACTCTACCAGGAATATCAAATGGAGACGCATAAGCGCCTATGTCAGTTGGCAGGGCACATGATGATGATTCTCTCCTGTGCAATCAGTTCGATATGGCTGGAATCCAGTCCAGCACCTCTGGCTTCTCTCATTGTCGTTTGCCTTAGGGTTTCTCTTGGACATCCTTATTTCCTCAGTCCTTCTGCTTTCCATTTCACTGCCTGTTTGGTGATTCTCTGTTTGTCTCTTCTCAGAATGTCATTTAGCTTTACCATAGTGTATATGTTTTTTAAAACATAGTAATGCCCCACATCCTTTAATAGACTGTGATCTTTTCAGATCATGGTAATTTGATGCCTCTGCACAATTATATGAAGCACGAAACAAGTTTTCATAGGGTTTCTTTTTCTTCTGCCTCATATCCACAGTTGAGCATAGGTCCTCAACCAACTCACACCAAGTCATCCTCAACCAACTCCACCAAGTCATCCTCAACCAACTCACACCAAGTCATCCTCAACCAACTCACACCAAGTCATCCTCAACAAACTCACACCAAGTCGTCCTCAACCAACTCACACCAAGTCATTCTCAACCAACTCACACCAAGTCGTCCTCAACAAACTCACACCAAGTCATCCTCAACAAACTCACACCAAGTCATCCTCAACAAACTCCACCAAGTCGTCCTCAACAAACTCACACCAAGTCGTCCTCAACAAACTCACACCAAGTCATCCTCAACAAACTCACACCAAGTCATCCTCAACCAACTCACACCAAGTCATCCTCAACCAACTCACACCAAGACGTCCTCAACCAACTCACACCAAGTCATCCTCAACCAACTCCACCAAGTCGTCCTCAACCAACTCACACCAAGTCATCCTTAACAAACTCACACCAAGTCGTCCTATCCTTTACTGTTGCAAATGGCCAACTCCACATCCTTCTGTTAAAAGAGTTTCCCTCCATCTTGGTTAGCTGGGTATTTCTGTTTCTCTTGTTGACTTTACCATGGTTTGTTGGTTTTATGGGATGAGGACGCCTACCTTAACTCTACAATTAGTCACCTTTTCCAACATGCCTGGTCAGGTGCAGTGTTACTATTCTTTGATTCCAATGAGGACCCTGATATGAGTTTTTCGAGGGTCTGTGCTTGACATTGGGATGAAAGGCAGAAGAAGAAGACAGAACATCCTTAGTTTTGTCTGAAGTTATTGAGTCCAGATGTAAGAAACTGCTCTAACTACAGATCCATTTGTGTCCAATTAAAAATTGGCTGTATATTGTAGAGGGAGCCACAGTGATATAGCGGCTAGATGCTCGCCTGCAGATCGGAAGAACTTAGGTTCAGGTCCTGAATGAGCTGTACTTTTTTTCCAAAATTTACCTTGGCTCTCAGGTCGACCCAGTCTTAAATGGTAACAGGTGCAATTCTGGGAAGTAAAAGCAACAGGTGTAACATCACCCACTGAGAGCAGCCAGAAGAGCTAGAGCAGCCAGAAGAGCTAGAAACAGAACCTTAAATCTCCCTCGACACCCAAAAGAGGAAGTGAAGAAGAAGAGAAGAAGAACCCACTGAGAGCCTAATAAGTAAGCTAGACACATTTTTATAGACCAGTTGACACTCAGTGCATGGAGTGGTCAGCATGTTGATGACCACCTTTACTGCACATGACTTTAACCATTACCCATTTTAGGCTGGGTCGACATGGGAGCTAAGGTCGTTTAAAAAAAAAATTCAACTAAGTGCGGCTTTGAACACATGACCTTTGGGTCAAAAAGTGAGTGTCTAGCTACCTCACCACTGTGGTTCCCAGTTTTCCTAATAAGACAGTCAAAATATTGTATGCATTGTCTCTCATGTCTCTACAGTGTTTGTACATTATATGTTTTAATAACACTTGCAGGAGATGTGAAATTTGCAGAGATTGTTATGGATAAAGGGAAGTCTACAGGTGTTGGTTATGTCAGGTTCAGCAATGAAGCAGATGCACACAGAGCAATTAGTATCCTTTTTTTCTTGTTTAGTTTGTTCATGTTGTTATTTCTTCTCTCTTGGTTGTCTCTCTTGTATGTATAAATATAGAAACATTTAACTCTTTTTCTACCTAGAAGCACTTGACACGTTGATTTATAACTGATCTGTCTTCTGGTACTGAGAGAGTTAAGGCCTTGTATATGTGACACAGACCATGCCTGTTGCTGTGATTTACTAGACTACCACAAAATAAACAAAGTGACAATTTGGCAAAGTGGTGACATTGAGCAGCAAGCCTGCAGGACATGACTTGGCTGTGTAAAATATTATTGAAGTTAACTTGAGAAGAAAGTTGAGAACCACTGAGACAAAACATACCTGAGGAAAAGCCACAGCTGTCAACGGCTAAGATCAATGGTACCTCCAATGTCCAGGAGAAGCCCAAGTTGATGCCATATTGTGCTTGCCCAGAAATCAAGAAAGCTTGAGATATTTGCATCATTGTAGAAAGCAGAGGCAAACTCTGAGAAGTTGATAGAGAAGCACAAAAAGTTTATGAGAGACTTGGGCTTCAGAATCTGAAAGACCTTTCCCATACTACAAAAGAGGTAAGCTTGTCACAGAATGTGAGCGGACCTAACGTATATTTATGTTTGGATGTGCATAGATATTAAGAGTATGGATATTATTATATGGATCTTAAATAGCAGTCAGGTTCAAGTGTTAACATCAAAGAGGGCAGCATTTTTAAACTTCTTGTCTAAAATTGAGGACTAGGTATAGCAGAATGTTAAGCTTCAATGTTTTTTTCGTTCGGACTTCACTTTGCTAATGCTGTTTCCACATATGGACACTAGTCTATGATTACGCTTCCTGAGCTACTGAATTTAGTGCTTGGTGCAGCCCTGTGAGCTGTGCTTTTCACTTGCTTCATTTGTGCAGCGGTTGAGTCATGTTATTCAGTATGGCCGGTAGTCGGTTTACGCATGGGCGGGTGAAATATCTTATGTAATAATTCTACGTGCCCGACTACTTCAATCAGTGACAAACTGCATTTCTGGACGTGCGGCTTTTGGGTTTGGCGCCTCCAGCGTGCAATATTTCTGTATTGTTCGGGACTAATTGTTTGTTCACCAGTTTTTCAAATGGGACAGTGAGGGACATTTCATTTGATTTTCACTCGCACAGTGTTTTTGTTGTGCATTTAATTCTGAAGTGTTGTTAGAGTAGCAAGCATTTTGAGCTGTTACAATTACCAGTCCATGCCATATGACATTGCTTATGTCTGTCTGCAGCCTTCTGTTTCCTGTACTGTCAGTCATTTCTACATACTGTCAGTCATTTCTATCGCTTTTTCTTCACATCTGGATGCCTAACTGTAGCATCTTTTCTCTTGGTTTTCCTTGCCCCTCTTCCCCTCCAGTTTTCCTCTTTTTATGATGTACTCCAGTTTTCCCTTCTCCCAGTGTGACCAAAGAATGTAAATTATCTCCTTCTTAAGCACTTAATCCTGAATAAAATTTACATCTGCTTAAAAAGATATTTATCGTGCGCAGAAACCTCTTGTTGACTCTTATCTAGGATAAATATGTCCGGCACATCTGGCACAGACT